GGGGGTTGAAACAATTGCAGGGGGTACCTGCAAACAACCTGTAAACATTTCCAAGTACACTGGCCTATTTCTCGTGTATATTTAAAACGTATTGTAAGTGATATTAAAAAAAAATGAAATAGAAAACGAAAAACAAAAAAACAAAAAAACATCACACTTTACCTGCAGCACAGCGGCATCTTTCGAGGAGGTCTGTAGGTCTTGTCCATATGGAACTCCCACTTGCATTCGTGCCTGTTGAACAGTCTGGCGTCCACTCCGTACCAGAGACAGAGAAGAACAGCCACAGCAACGATACCGCTCCTCATTATTGCTTACGAGATTTGCAACAGATTTGTAGTGAATTTTCCTAAAAATTACAAAACGGGTTATGAAATATTCGCCTGGTATTAAAATAATTACTTTTTGCAAGGTAGCCTTAATTTAATAGGTTACTTCCAATCAGTTTTGAAGTAGGCGGGGATACGGATAGGCCTATACAAGTTGATTTTATCGTGTGGGTGTAGCCGTCTAGCCTGTATAAATCTTTTACAGTAAAACCGCAAGGTACTGGTGTTTGTGGTAAAAAGGCATGCAAACAACGGAATTCACACCTACCGCAGGTTTTTCAAGTCTTGTTAAACCTTTCCATAAACCAGTCACCTTTCACATACTCTTATTTGCATATCTATCACAATTAGTCCCGTTTTCCCAAACATTCGTATGCATACATATTTGTAGAAAACGGCAGTTGAAATGTATATAAATGACTACAAGTACGCCATTTAACAGAACAGCCCCTCATTAAATTATATTTTTGTCAATTACTTAGATTATTTTTATCAATGAAGATTATTTTATTTTATTTTATTTTATTATTATTATTTTTTTTTGTGGGGGGGGGGGAGAAGGTTGGAAACTTGGCTATTTCTAATGGTGTTTTTAATACTTTTAACACCAGATGCTAACACCTCCTTTCTTTGACTAAAATTTATATCCAAACCCCATCTGCATTTAGATTAAAGTAGATTTTAAAGCATCTAAAGAATTTAAATTAAAATTATCAACAATCCTTGTCATTAGCTGCCTGGCTTGATTTCCCATTCCGAGTGGCGGATTTAGGGGGGTGTCAGGGGGGGTCCTGATCCCACCCCCCCTCCTCCCCTTCTATTTCTAAAAAACTCACACTTACTCTTGAAATTAGAATTTTGACTAGCTGATTCAGAGTTGTAACCCGTATCAAACTGGACAAATCGCCCTCCAAAATACCAAAAAATTCGGATCTTTCCCCGGGCCCCAAACCCCACTCCAAGAGGTGTGTGAGGGTCGGCTTCGCATCCGCGGACCCCCTTCAAATAATCCTGGAGCTGTCCCTGCATTCCTATGTGTTTTTACAGCTAACCACTTTTGATGACAATATGCAAACGCAAGGCTTTCTTTTCAATCAGCCATTTAGAAAAAAAAGCTGTTGGGTTGACGTACCTATTTACTTGCTTCCGCAGGCGACAACAGAATCCGAAATCAGAATTGTGGTCAATGAAATAAAAATTCTGGGTTCTATGGGTTTCTATCTCTTCGTTCACCGTTTTGTCTCCTCTATCCTTTTAAAATAATGCGAGTTTGTGATTCTTTAATTCTTGTGATGACGTGTTTGTTCGAATTGCTTCTTCAAGCCGTTAAGTCACATTTACACAAAACAAATTGGTGAAACCTTATTTCAAATTAATACTGGGCATTTTTAGCAATATAAAAACGGTCATTGACTGCTGTTTTTATACACATAATTTATAATTACTTTGTGCTTTGAAACCGACAGTTTTGACTTGCTAGTCGGCGATTCTTCTATGCGAACCTTGCTCGTCCGGTATCACACTGGGTACGGTGTAATGTAAACGGGCCTTTACGTGACAGTGTCATGGTTGCAGGTAATTTACGCTGATTGATGCCTCATTGTTATGTGCACTGGGAGTTATTCACTCCCTTTTAACATTTATTCCGTGTAGCGCCCTCAACGGTATCTTATTATGATGTTACAGTGGGTACAAAATTCATGTATTGCGGTGACCGCCAATTGTGAGGCCATGTCTATTTTAATAGAAATTAAAATTTCTTAGGCAAATCAGAGTCCACACTACAAAATACAAGATACCAGGCAAGTAAGCCTATAAAAACGAAAACCTAACTGAATTTGAGATGACGTGCAGGAAAAACAAACGGACAACTGATAGTCACTAAAAATAAAATGCTTGAGAAATACGGGATATTTCACAGATAATCGAGCATCTTTAAAGAGCATTTACGATCCTCGTCAGTGCAGATCTGATCCACAATAAGAAGACAAAAAAAAAATGTATTCTGCGAGGTTGAATCCGGAGGTTTGTGATTATATCACATAATAAAATGGGTGGCCCAAAACATTGTTTTAGTTAACGGACAGAATGTCAAAAAATTGCCTAACACTTCTTCATTCCAACGCCCTCTCCATTATTTTATATTTTTAAATGGCACTTTTATGCGCCCATAAAATATTATATGTCACAGCAGAAGGGCACAATGGAGTGGGGCCTCCCACAATACTTAGTGGATTATTTCCGGATTATGTAAATAGAAAAAAGGCACGACAATACTCATACTGCAGCCTGTATCCATAATTTAAAGTGAAATTAATGTGGTTATTAGTCATACAGAGTGAAAAGTTGTTGACCAGCATTTTTATAATGCACTGTAAAAATAAATAGGTTAAAAATAGACTGCTTTGAACCAATATCTCACTCTCTCTCTCTCTATTTCTTTAATCTTTTCTTGCAGAACTTCTGAGACAAGGTGTTGTGGTTTGTGAAAAAGAAAGGTTGAATGTGGCTCCATTGTGTACTGGTAAATATACTTTTTGGTGGATAATAAGATGATTGCATATTTTAGCACAAATGTACATAATAACCAAGTATTTTATTGTTTTTAATGATGTCACCAAATGCTGGTGAAGAATCAAAAAGATGACAAGGTATGAAAAGTCTGAACAATGGATATTTGTCAATTCATTGCAATTACAAATATTTTCATTTTTTTTTTAATTCTATTTTTATCTTTTTATTTTAATAGTTTTTGTAAAAATAAGAAAAAAAAACAAACTAAATATGTTAACTTCTATAAATATCAGATGTGTTTATTACAACTGAAGGAGTACAAAGTGATACTTTTGGAGAAAATTGTATTTAAGTGGTATGGTTTATGAAACTCAGATGAACATTTTAAGTAAAGACTTTCAGCTCAACAAACAGGCATTAACATAGGTTTTATTTATTTATTTTTTTTTTACTTCTCTGTTTTCAAAAACAGTCGATATACGGAGAAGTTAGGGGAAATTATATTTGAAGTTGCTAAGGTTGAAAACTGATGCAATTATGTGAGAATGGAGTGGTGCAAACTCACACTGCCTGCTTGTGTGTGCACAGTAAAACATGTGCAGTGTGATCACATGACACACTGAAGAAGTGTAACTGTTCAGTACACACAAATTCAATTACAAACATGCCTTAAATGCACTACACATTAAATGCCCTGAAAAGTCTTAAAATTACACCCATGGTGGATATACAACTCTAGTTAAACCTTAACCAATACCATGTTAAATATATTGTACATCGGTACAAATTATGCAGATGATCACACTCAGTGAGAGAAGGAGCAATGTTTGTTGTATAATGCCCCACTCCACACAAGTGTCATATAAACTTACCCTAAAGACAAATGACAAGTGTATTTTCCAGATGAAAATGTATCTCACTGATATTCATCAACAGCCAATGATTGTAAAGGGAATGGTGATTATGATATGAAGTTATGTACATGAGGAAGGCTATCATAATTTTACCCTTTAAGCAAGAAACCCTTACGACTATGTTACTTCGTAAAATGTGATTGCAAACAACTCTGAGGTGGAAGTTAAATGACACAGCCACATCAACTGGTATATAATTCATTCCCAAAAGACATGACTGACATGCTTCATTACTACAGGTAGGAATGAAGCAAATTAGGAACCTTACAAGAAAAAGTGGCTCCCACCGTGCATTGTCCCTGAATTGGGCATCATCATTATATGCAATAGGAGAACTATTTACATGTGTGTATACATAAATAATCATGTCATGGAAGTACAGTTATTGCACTTGCATTTAATGCTGTACAATGGCTACAAACCTCTCCAGTATTTACCATCACAACTATCGGTATTATATGTGTAAAGGGTGATGGATAGAGAGATGTTATTGTGCTTGTGACAAAGATGTCAGTGTAAAAGTAAAATCAGCTCACCTTCTGTTCAACAATATTAAAATATAACACAGCACTGATTGTAAGGTATATACTTAAGATTTGGGGAAAATGTTTTGGTATTGATTGTTCCCTCAATGATTAGCAAATTTAGATGATTGTCTTATCCCTTTTCAACACAATTGTTGTATGGTTTAACAAAAATAAAAGCAGAAAAAATATCAATTAAAATTAACTGAGCAAATTATTATTTCAAAAGTGATAAAGTTTCACTAAAGCTGGCCAGTCTTAGCTGGCATGAGGCCACAAAAAGACATATGACGTTGGTGTACAGCAATTTTTCACTTAAAAACTGTAAACTTATTGCACTGTTATTTGGCATGTTTGCCAAATGGGGTTTTATGCGACTTGCTGAGATTGTGACACTAGCTGTTGACTTTAGTCAATCAACTTTTCCCTCAATCTTTTCCAAATAAAACTGTCTGTTACCCTTCCTTGACCTTGCTGAGACGTTCCTTTGGCTTCACCACCAAGTTTTGCTCTCACCATTAATTTCACATATTTTTACTCCACTGAACAGAGCAGATCTGTATGTTTCAGTTGCAGTGGAAACATACTAATATATCAAAATGAATTTTGAATTTTCATACAAAAATAAATCCACTTCTAGTTTTAAGGGCGATTTCTGGCTTTCTGTCCCATTTTTTATCTTCATGTCACCAGCAAAAATCCCCCTCAGTAGTTGGCCCATGGTGCATTGACTTTGTACTCCCTCTGAAAATAATCATAATGTTACAATCAGTCTAAGCATTTTCAGACTTCTGAACATAAAAATGACGAAATGTGTGTGTGTGTGTGTGTGTGTGAGAGAGAGAGAGAGAGAGAGAGCATAGGATCTTTTATGATTCAAAATATGTATTTTGGTATCTTAATTGTCAGCTAACCTAAACAAATTTATCAGCCTTCAAGGCTTAATTGCCCCCTGCATGGTGCCACAGTAACTTTTTTTTTTTTTTTGACAGAGTATTTTTTACACTTACTGTTATTCAACATATGTATACCAATGTAATGCCTTTTAAAATATGCCTCATTCTTGATATGCTGTCACACTGTAATTCACTGGAGAGTACATGGACACTTTACCACTATGTTTTTTGACAGTACATAGGACTCTCACACCTATATAACACTAGCACACATACTTACTCTCTGTTTCTTTGGAGGATTAAACTCAAAGAGGTTAGCGTGGTTGCTGCCTAGTGTACTCCTGGCGTACACACCCTTGGCTCCTGCATGGTCTGTGTCAGTGGTGGTGCCGCTTACAGTGTTCACCACTTTGTGATAGTCATTGTGCTGAGAGAGGGGAAAAAAACAGAGTTAATTGTGTTAGGTGAGATGTGATTGTGTCTGGATGTGCTGCATGCAAATTTCAAACAGATTGCTGAATGGTTGATAAAATGATGATAAAAAAAAAAACAAAACAACGCTGCTTTAAAATTGAGATGATGCATGAAATTATTGGCAGCAATGATATAATCTATGTACTCTATATTTATTTGTTTAATCTAACCATTCACTCATTTTAAGCTTTATATATACACATCACGTATACAACACTGATATTGGTGTTGATAATACAAAAACATATTACAATATTCTTACATCTCTCCTGGGAGAGTTGAGTATATTGTCAAGGTTTGCTTTCCTGGCATCAGGTGCTGCAGGGGCACCTGCTCCCGGCCGCCCCCAGAATGAGTTGTATGCCTCTTGATGCTGGAAGGAAAAGAGACAATTTTAAACAGGACGTTTAAGTACTGACAGTTCTTTGTAAATGAAAAATTCAATCTTTGCAGTTATTCCCTGGTAAATCCAAGATTGTGTTAAGGGAGAAGCACAAGGATTTATTTATTTATTTATTTGCCTTGTTTCATTTACCAAATTTAAAACAGTAGCAGGGGCGGATTTAGGCCGTCTTCTGGGTCTTCAGGAAGACGGTCAGATTTTCAAGTTTACATTGACAGGTTTCTATTTTTTCTGTTGGAAGACGGTCAAAAATGGAGGATGGATCAACAAAGATAATTTGGAAGACTCAGAAAATATCTCTGGATCCGCCCCTGAGTAGGCAGGGTCTGAGGATCACATAGCTAAAGTGAAGCCATTCAAGTAACTGGTAACTGAGACACTTTGTATCTTATAAACTCACCTTTTGTCCCTGTTGTATATCTCTTAGTTTTTCTAGCTCTTTTATTCTCTGTCTCTCTTCTGCTAACCTCTGCAGATCACTGTGGTATTTGTGGCTGTCATTTGTAAGCTGGCGGCGTTCATCTACTGCCTGTAAAAAAATATTGTAGCACTTATAAGCTTTCGTTATTTGCAGACAAGGACTCGTGTTTCTAGGCAGACCATAGCAACTAGAATGTTGCTGAATATAAACCAAGTGGACCCCCTGCAATCTATTTACCAGAGGCTCATCAGGAGTATATTTACGGGAAAAAAGAACCAATCACAAGCACTGAAATTGCATCCCAGTCTTAACAGCTGAAACAGGTTTCTTTTTTTGGATGATATCATCATAAAATCAATTCAATGGAGCTCTCTTTGAACTGAAACCCTGGGCACTGTGCCCTACCAGCTACATCTTACAAACAATATTATATACAGGTTTAGGGTATATTACATTAAATACCTGTGAGGGCAATTTTGCATCAGGTCTTATTATAAACACTTTATGTAAACTTCATACACAGAATGACATAAATCAATCATACAGTTGTGGTTTTCCACTTCTGTGGGCATGTCATTTACATGTACATAAATTCAGTAGAGACAGTCAACTGAGACGCATATCAAGTTATAGAATAATAAGTGTGCCCTATGCAGGACATATACTGACACCTAGTGTTTTGTTGCTAAACATCTGATTTTTGATAACTTTTTCCAGCCTCCCAACAACAACTATTATTATTATTATTATTATTATTATTATTATTATTATTATTATTATTATTATAAAAAACTAAGATGGTAATGAAAACAAAAATGAAAAAAATATTGAAAAATTCTGCATGGTTTGTTTTGGATATATGTAAGCTTTAACACCTGACCATATTGAAAGGGGAGGTGAATTACACTGTAGGCCTACGGTACTGATAAAAATACAAACAGGACCATCTCAACAACTAAGGCTGTTCATATCAACCCACACTAATCTGTTAGCCCTATATGCAGCACTTACAGGCAATATTTGAGGACACTTACCATTCTAGTAACATCTGAAACATTCAGACTCTGGTTGGTCAGTAAGCCAGTTTCTGGATCCCTACGAGGTTTGCCTGTTTGGCCTTTGTTCATGATGGTGGCCAAATCACTTGCCTGAGAAAATAATGAGAAGAGATAGTCAAAATACTGATTACTTTTGGACATCTTTCTGTGACTTCACAATGTCAAAAAGTCAGTGAGTCAGTGCCTTAAGTTGGTTCAAAATGCTAGCAAAATAAATAAATAAATAAATAAATAAATAAATAAATAAATAAAACTACACATAATTGTCATTAGACATTTGGAAGAGTAAACTTTCAGTGGGATTATTTCAAACTATCATCATTGCAAATAGTGATAACTTTCTATTTATTAGTTCATATTTAATAAAAGTACTTACTGGCTGCTTAAAGGAATCATTCATTTCCTTTTTGTTCTGCTGCTGTTCTACCATTTCACGTTCTGTAAAAGAAAATGAAAATGAATATTCTGATCACTCATAGTTATTGTTATAAAACCTGTGCCATCAAAGGTATGGGTACATGCAGCAGCTAATGCATTTTTTAAAAGATACCAGTGGTTTCTGCTATTTAAAAGATGAGTGAACATTTTCATATTAAATGTCTGTTTTTTTATATATCAATTAGGATGAGATTAACTTACGTAGCTCCTGCAGAAGAGCAGGGGCAGCTTTCTTTCTTCTTTCATCACCTGAATCAACCTGGAATTATAAACAAGTACATTAATTTTCATATAACTAAAATATCATAGGAAAGGATAATAATAATAATAATAACAACAAAAAACTATATCAGTGAGGATTTCAATGCAAAAAAAAAAAAAAAAAAAAACATACATTGATAATTTATTTCTAAAACTAAAGGAAAGAAAGAAACTTCACAAGTTCACAAGACAAAATTATTTCATAAATTAACATAACAAATACTTGATTTCGCTCAAACTTCCTACCTCTCTCCTCCTGTTTGTCACTATATTGCCACGGTTATCTCTAATGGGTGCTCCGGCCCCCTCACGCCCCCACCACTTGTCGTACCCAGCATCATCTCCAGTCTTTGTCTCCATATGATGCATTGGGTGGTCCATCTGGAACCGATTCTCTGAAGAAAGCAGCAAATTTAATAGTTAAAATTTAACATGGTTATGATTTGATTGTGTGTGTGTGTGTGTGTGTGTATGCGTGCATGTCCTGTTTTATTTTAATTCATTTTGGCAGTTGTTTCTGAGCTTGTACATTTTAAGGAGGAACTTAACTGTTTCACAGTGACTTGAGCCTTTAACTGCTGCATTTTTAATGCAGATTGCTTAAAAATTAAAGCAGATCTCAACTAAATACATGGGTAAATATATCCACTGTAATGGACTTGCAATACAAAGTTTACCTCAAAGCACTCACCTCCAAATGCATCTTTATCCATCGTAATTTTCATCTTGGTCACTGCATGTCCATCCTTTGCCCTGACAGGAGCGCCTCCTCCACTGGCAAATTTCCCAACTTCCAACGAGACACCTTCATTACTCCCCTTGTCAAAACTTATCACGCCCATGTCTTTGTCTGAGTTTTTGTGTCGGGCAACATTCCCAAACTGGTCTCTGATGGGCTGCCCCGTCCCTTTGCCAAATGGGTCATAGAAGTCGAAGTTGTTTTCACTTTTACTTCCTCCCCTGTCTAAATAAGAAAGAAAAGTAAAAGTTACATTCATTTCTAATCTATTTTTTAAAACAAATTTCATAGACTATTAGTATCAATTTATATATTTTCAGATTTCAAGGAAAAATGGTTTTGTTTTGATAAATTGTTCCATAACTTAGTCTAGTCCAAATGTAAGTATTATTCAGAAATCACACATAGGGATTAAAACATCACAAATTCAACAGCATCACAACAGTATCTCAAGCTTATCAAGAACACAAGAGCGGTTATGATCCTAGAAGCATTACATTCAAGTGTTACAGACAGGTAAAATTATCGCCTTATACAAAGTGGATATGTTATTACTTAGGTTAGGAAATCCCTGTGCTCTGCGAAGATCAGGATCTGTGGCCATTCTACGCTCTACTCTCTGCAACTCAGTGCTATTATTGGTTAGGGTGATGGGGCGTCTAAGCATGTATCTAGAGCCTAGAGGAGAGAGTAAGGAAGCAAGGTTGGATCTAAGGCTACTATCAAAGCAGGAAAAATTGTTAATATTATTATTTGCTGCAGTAACTGTGGTGTTAACTATCATCTTGTTACGTATTTCCAAAAACAGCTTTAAAAACCTTTGTAATAAAGTAACGTGTTTGGGCTCATTTTGAAATATACCAAAAGATTCCAAAAATCACAATTTTATGGGAAATGTTTTAATTTTTTTCAGAATGTCATTGGTAATTATATCATTTTCCTGTTAGTTTTTGGATCAGTTTTCCTGCAACTATATATATATAATTTTCACTCCCCCTCACCTTCTCACAGGGACCACGATCACCATGAATCTCTAACTGATAATGAAACATCACAAATACTGCAGCCACAAAAAGATCAAAAGGTTCTTTGTACGTATATTGATTGGTAATACGCCATATTCAACTATGGCTACTTTCAGCACATAGACAATATACATTTAGCACAGAACATAGAATATTTATTTAAATGCCATTAGCTGGTGCTTACACCTACTAGCAGAGACTAAAACTTGTAATTATATCCCCAAAGCAGTATGTTATGTCAAAGCAACACAAAAGCAGCACACATTTCCATGGAAGCTAATTTTCCATTTGTCTGTATGATTTCTAAGATATATTGTGGACTGCCAATATGGCAGCACAAGTTTCGGAGGTCACCGGAACCTTGCTTATCTACCACCTTCATGCTTCTGCCATTTCCAGCAACTTCTGAAACTTAGGATGCACATATGGTGGTAGAGTTGTGCAGCATCGACACAATTTAAGTTATAATGTATCAAAAGCCATGTTGCTTTCAAGTGACATATGAGGAGATTGCACTCCAGTGACTACAGGCGCATCAATTGTGAAATTAATAAGTGCTCTGTAAAAGCTTTTTAACTACAAAATAATGGATTTTGCTAGATGGATGCTGCAGTTGCATTCTTCTATTTTTGAACAGTGTGCTCTTCAAAATTTATGAAGTTCAACACAGTTATTGGATAAGTGGGCACTGGGAATTCAGCTGTATCTGTTTCACCACATTAAAAAAGTCTACAGTATGCATTAATGTTTAGGACGGGGGCGTCTCTATAGTCCGAAGGTTCATTGGTCCGAAAAGTGGTAACATTTTCAGCGATTTTTTAATCAAGGGTTCATTGGTCCAAAGGTTCTATAGTGAACATTCGGACCAATGAACCTTCGGACTATTGAACCTTCGGACTATCGCTACGGCCCCGTTTGGGACCATGGTAAGCAGTCCAGGAAAGCTGCCATAAAGCAGTGGAAAAAGACCACAGCTCAAACAACAACACAAACACCCTACTTCACACCACATCTATATGAAACAAGTAACAAAAAAGTAGATTTGAGCCTGGTGTACCAAGGACAGAAATTCAACAGGGATTATTGATCGAGGTGTCACCAGAAAAAGTAAGGTCTCACTCAGTAGTGAAATAGTTCAATTTTTTTCTTCAAAAAATAAATTGGAGAATTTGTGAAAAATACAACTGATTTTGTAAATGAAAATGAGATTCTAGAACAAAATTTTATTTAAATAAATTAATTAATTAATTAAAACAAAAGTGGCAAAATAAAAGAAAAAAAAAAGTTCCATCTCAGCAATTTAACAGAGGGACTAGAGTAATTTTAAAAAAAGTGTCACAGTGGGGTTAAGTAATTTCACACAGACTGGGCCTGGAGGCATTAGCCAAGGTTTGCAGGGGAATCACCCAATAGTTTGTTACTTGTTACCTGTCTTAGACTTAAGAGGGGCACCTGCGCCAGGCTTTCCAAATGGATCAAATGTTAGCTGGAAAGGAAAAAAAATACATTATATTTAAATGAAGTTAATAATCGATACCCTGTGTCACTAGGGACTATCCATCACTATAGCAGTGTACATGTACCTCTGGCAGGTAGTCTTGATGACAGTAGAGGGGAGTTCCCTTAAAGGGATAATAACTCTTCGTTTTGGCCAAAAAATGAATTTTCCTGGAGTAAACAACAATTTTCCCATACTTACCAATGGTTAATGAATCCATTTTTACATTCAAAGTTAGTCCCTGGTTTTTTTCTAAAAAGTTTGGTTTTTTGTTAAAATCTCTTAAGAGATTATAACAGAGTATAGCCATCAATGGAGGTCACATGGTCTGAAGACAAGCTCAGATATCAGAAAAATAGCTATAACTGCTGTTTTTGTCATAAAACGGAATATATTATATTTCTGTGAGTTATTCACAATGTTTTTATTGTGAAATATAGACCTAAAACGAAGAGTTATTATCCCTTAGCAAAATATCAGGCCTGCTGCAAATTAGCAGCAAATATACTGCAATATTGCTGCAAACTGCAATTCTTTCATGCACATTCGCTGCAATATGGCTGCAAATCAGCAGCGAGAAAAACTTTCTAGTGAACTAATGCAAACTCCTTGCTGCAAACTTTTCATTTTGCTAAGGGTTACCAGTAAACTTTCTAACTGAGGGTGGTATTTTCACAGATTATGAGAAATACCCAGGTACAGGAGGTGCTGTATCATATAAACACCATTTTTTTATAATTTCCACTTTTTCTATAGACCTTTAATTTCATATCACTCATCTTTGTCCCCTTGATGATAAATTGCCTATGAATAACAAATCCGTAAAATCCTTCTGACAATTTTCAATACACATTCGAATTGTTGTGTATTTGATCAGGATAGTATTTACAAAAACTGATATTTATTAGTGTATATATTTTCTTAACTACATACCATGTCCATCTCCTCCTTCAGCTCCTGAGACCTGGATTTTTGCTGGTTTACAAGTTTTTCATATGTTTGTTGATCTAAAATCAAGAAATAGTACAAATAAATTTTTTTTCACAAACTCACCACTGATTCATGTCTCATATTACAAAGTCCATCATTAGCATCAGAAAGTTATTCTTAACTTGTTAATTCAGGAAATCTGCCGACAATCAGAAAAATCTCATGTTGTAGGCAGCAACAACACCAAAAAAGTAGAAAATCCACAGATAACTGGAAAAATTTCACCTCTGTAATAGCTTTATTATATTTTCTTCATTTAATCACATTAATAAGTAATGCAATAAGTCCTATACATCAGATAATCTACCTAGTTTGTTTACTTGCAGGTGTGTTATTCATCATATCTGGTCAATAGTTATTGATTTTAAGTAATAAGTACAACAGGATCGAACTAAGCAAAACATAACACAGTTAATGTAATCATTAAAAAATCCTATACAAGTTAACAAAATTATAAAATAACATTGTCAGTTTCAGTTTGTTTACAGGTAACCATGGGTATTACCATGCTGTCTGTGACATCATCAGTCACTGTTCTTTGTTACGTAATAATGTACTGACTGTTCTATCATTACAACAATGATTACATCTACTAATGGACTCACAGAATAGATGGACTACATTGGGTGGTTACATAAGTTTATATTTTCTGACAGTTTGACTATTTTTTCCCATTGAATTGTATAGTTTGTATAGTGACATCTTTGTATAGGTAATATGAAAATTGAGGTGCATATGTAACCTTAATCAAGGCAAATAAATACAAAAATAATAAATAAATAAATAAACATTTATGGTAAATGTTACATTTGTTATCAAATAAATTATCACCATAAAATAACAAAAATATAAATTATTTCCATACTCATATCCACTGACCTAGAGCTCTGTGCAAGTCACTGGCTTTGTCTCTCCCAGCTGCGTAACGGAACGGCTCAATCATGGGTTCCGTCCTCCGCGCATCTGACTGGAACCTGATCAGTTTGTCCTTGGGGATCTCTGTCACAATCTGGCCCGAGGTGGTTCTTATTGGAGCCCCTCCTCCCTGGGTGCCAAATGTTGGATAGTACTGAGGAAGGAGGAAAAATAAAGAATCATATATATATATATATATATATATATATATATATATATATATATATCCACTGTTGAATGTGGGCTAACACTGATAAAAGAAAGAGTAAAGAATTTACCATTTCATAGAGATTTGCAAAAAAAAAATAATAATAATAATTCAAAATACCAGCAGACTACTCGCCATACTCAATCAAACCAGGGAATTATATGGTAGTCTACGATATAATTCCCTGATCAAACCAAGGTACATTGTACCTGACTTAAATTAACACAATTAATATAGCTTTCCAAGTATAAAATGATTGTAAACCTTTAAGACCATAAGTACATGCACCCGTCACCACACATATTTACTATAACAGCACCTACCTGTATCAGTGTATAACTAATTTTAATTAAAATTTCTGAAGTTAACAGAAATGAAATCTGGTCTCTTCAGAAAAGAACAGTGACACCATGAACACGCCAGACTAGTCTGTGTGAATGCCCTGTATGCCAAATGTACAAGATATACTAGTCCATTTAAATATCTACATTGTATAAGTGTGATCTGTTTAGAACAACAAAACCATAACAACAGGGGCATATTGTGCAACAGCATAAATCATTAGTGAAGTCTTGGTTTCTTAATTCATCATCTTATAATTAGTGTATGTAGTGTCTCCTCAATGGACAGGTATTATAAAGTCATTCTTCTGCTTAGCCCTATACATAGTTACCTTCCTCACATGGCTTGTAACAGATACATGAATTAGGACTTGTATCAATACAATACCAGGTATTAATGTATATATATATATATATATATATATATATATATATATATATATATATATATACATGTATAATACAGAGGTATAATTCTGTTACACACACAATGCACAGATTGATAATCTAGTTTCTCTGGATTTGAAGCTCTGACTTCTACTTAAACAATAGTTTTGACAAAACTTTGTTAAATTTCTTTTAAGTACATAAATAAATAAATAATTTAACAAATACATATATCACTGTGTGAGACCATTAACAATGTGCAAATGCACATTGACATCATGGTTGCTTGGCAACAAATGTATAAACTATTGCATTGTTCTCTAGTTCGTGTCCTAATTACAAGTATGACATAACATCTGTAAAGCATCAATTAAAGCAAATCAATAATAGGGTGGCAAATATTCTTTACATTTGGTTTTTTATCTCTCTATACTGAAGAGAAGCCAAGTTATCTAAAAAGAAGTACGAAAAGCAGAAACTAGCTGTAAGCTGAAAAGTCCATTTGCAAAAAGCAGCACACCTTTTAGCCAGAGCAGATAATGTGCTTTGGCCATAATTTCAATACTTCACATGCAACATTAAGTAATCCCTTGCTATCCACATGGTAAATCAATAACAATTATAATTTCCCATTAATTACATTTGCTTCCCATCATTAGTTTAACTTAGTAACAGCACCAGTCTCATGGGACACTCAAGTGCCTCCCACGTGATGTTTTAACCAAAAAGTTCATCCCAACAAAACCATATCTAGATGCCAAATTCATTGTGTTTTTACTGAAAACCATTGAAGACAAGCACTATATACAAAAAGTGCTCATTAACTCCGACAAATTTTGTTGAACAATGTAGAAAATATTAACATAAGTAGCACAGACAATATGCCAATGAAGTGCGTAACAAAACTGAAAGAGTATACTTACTTCTGATGTTTTTGTATTTGTCTTGGGATTGAATAATATATCGTCATCAAATCTCTGAAGTCTGGCATCTTCCTAAAATTCAAGAATAAATAAACAAATAAATAAATGATAAATAAACAAATAAACAATTTTAAAATCATTTAAAATTTTTTTTCATTGTTTTTCTACATTTTAATTTTATTTCAATTGGCTAGACTTTCTTAAATAAAATAGCTGGTTTACCTTAAGAAAATATCTCTAAAATGAAAAAAAAAATCCCCTAATAATAACTGATATATCTTATTCAGATGTGAAAGCATACCTTCTGGTTTGGTGCACCCCCTCCAGCTTTTCCCCAAGGATTGTAACTTTTTAACATTTCCAAATCTCTCCTTTTCTCTTCCTCTTTGGCATTTATTTGGTGCTTTTTCCACTGCTTGAACTCCTGGATGTCTTGCTCCGCTATCTCCATCTGTTGGCGATGCTTTAGCAGATCAGCTGACCTGAAGGTTAAAGGTCAAATAAAGGTAAATTTTTACATCCAATTACACTTTTTGTTTCTCAGAACTTGTACATGCAGGCTTACAATAACACATGGTATTGCATCTTGGTGCATGGATCACAATTATCTCAGGGAGACACATGTAGAACAATGTAGTAATAATTTTCTTTGACAAAAAAGTAGTGGCACATGCAGAAAATAAAATCATTTCTTATTAACAGACATATGTTTTCTACCTTTGAGATGCAAAGTTTTGCACCTTTGTTCAATTAAGTACCTTAATTCATCGCATGACTTACTTGTCTAAAAGTTGAGGGGTTTAAGCAGCATGCCTCAAAGATACTGTAGAAAAAAAAAATGTTTAGTCTTCTAAGAAAAGATAACTTGTTTGTATTCTTTTCATCACAGAAGAAAAAACAGTACTGAGTACATGTAGCTGGATCTTACGTTTTGTCCTGCAAGGGGTTCCCAAGAGGTCTAGGGCCCTCACTTTTGTGTGGAGAACCTGTGCTGCCATATTCAAAACCATGTCCCAACTGTCCCAGGGGTCGGTCTGGGAAAAGGTTATAATAATAATTATAATTATAATAATAATAGAAATAGTAATAGTAATAATATCAAAATTGTGTTTATTAAAAGCTAACATTTTATACAGATTTATACATGATATATGCCCTTACCAATTCATTTTTTTAGTACAGTGATCTTACTTTCACTGTGTACATCTGCAAATTATTTAATTTCATTTAATTAGTTTTTTTAGAGTTTTTTTACATTGAGAAGTTGGTGCATATTCTGCTGCCATAAAATTGCACAAAAAGGAAGAAAAAATCTCATTAAAAAAATATGTTAAACTCAGTGAAATTATAGAAACACATAATATTTACCTGGATGTAAATGCTGTGCTTTTCTAAAATCTGCATTATAAGTAGGCTCAAGTGGCTTGTCCCCTAGAATTGGTCTGCGAGGAGAGTCCATGTTGCGTTCTGGGAAGCCCTTAAAACGAAAATTCTCTCCAAGACCAGTGGCTGCTTTTGTTGACATGTCCAGCGATGTATTGTTGTTACTGTAGGGGTCATGTGGGGTGACTGGAGAGAAATATTTTGTGAAGATTTCTTTTAAAATAATGCTTATAAATTAGTAATATTAAATATATATATACATATAAGTATATATATTAAAGGCAATGTGTTTTGCATAGGGTATATCTTTGCAACAAAGGAGAAACTGCAAAAGTTCCCAGGATCCTTTTTCTTGGACTGTTTTAGAAAAGTCTTCCTACATGTATAAGAAGCGAGTGCAAATATACTAAAAAATAATTACAACTGAGGGTTATAGTCATTATGGTGCATGATTTCACCTTTATACATGATTTTGATAATTTGATGTCCAAAATAATCAAATGAAATAAAACAAAATAAGAAAAATAAATTACATTATAATAAATTAAATTAAATTTAAAATTCCACCTTTTTCTCTCAGCTTTTCTTTTATCTCATTATCTTTTTATTATAACAACATGAGCTAAATTTGGTTTAAAAAAAAAGGGGCAACTGTAGCTAATTTTTTTCTAGAATCATTCTTATTTATTTATTCATTTACTAGTATTTATTTATTTATTTATTTATTTATTTATTAGTTTTTGAACAGCATTCTTCCTTTAATTATAAAAATTTAAAAAATAGAGAAAAGGTTAATATCTGAAATTTTAACAGTTTTGCAATTCTAAACCACTGACATATATCTAACATAAAATTCATATCATACAAAAAGGTGTAATTTCTTGCACATAAATCTATTATAATGCTATGTAAGATTCAAATTAATCAATTTACAAAGTGAATTAAGATGTTTTTGATAAGAAATATTTAATTGCTTTTTTCCATATAAGCTCACTAGCACATTTAAATTAAAGCAACGAGCAGTTACATATACATGTACTCATTACTGAAGGTATGTAGATAAATGAAAAAAGCAGAAACTGTTAACAAGAAGCATGGTATAATATTATCCACCACCTATACAGCAACACAACAGCTACCAGACAGCTATGACAGCTAAATAAGCAATACCCAACATGTAAACCACTAAAAAGCTAATTTACATCCAAAACTATTGTGGCAATCCTACAGGGGCTACTATCTATATATGCACAAATCATTCCATTCTTGCACACTACTAAATACAACAGCTTTTCTCCATTCACCACTTTTAAAGGCGTTATCAAAAGTAAATCACCTGCGTGAAATTATTATTATTTTTTTTTGTTTTCACTTGAAACACATACCAATGAAATGAATTTATACTTTGATATTCCTGAAAAATTGAAACAAAATGAAAGAAATACAAGTCAGGAAAATGAAAAGCTGTACAATGGTGTTCTCTCACCAGAAAGCCGAGAAAGTGATCCTTGCTTTAAAGGGTAGAAAAAGAATAAGAAGCAAGTTTTATACAGGGATTCCGTAAGAAGCACAATAAAGGGTTGGTGCAGAAATAAATAAAAACAAACAGGTACTTATTCATATTCACCAGTGTAACCAGAAGTGTTTATATATATATTAGTTATTCATTAAATGTAGTTTTGTGATTGAGCTTAAAATGTGATAATGAATTTGTTAAATTTAAAATTAAATTCTTTATAAAAAATCTTTCAAAAAAAAAAAAATTGTAGTACATTGAATATTGAAGCTGGCTACACCATGAAGCGAAGCAACAATCTGGTAACAGTGTATACTACACTTAGCAAAATGAAAAGTTTGCCACAATATTACAGCAAATTGACTGCAAACCCTGTTCGCAGGAGTTTGCAAGGAAATTTGTTGCTGCTAATTTGCAGCAAATTTGCAAGAACATTTCAAGTTTGCAGCAGGTTTGCTGTAAAATCTTTATGACTCCTAATAAATTTGCAAGAACATCTTAAGTTTGCAGTATAGGTTTGCAAGATAGTATTCATGTTCTTGCAAATTTGCGGCAAAACAGCAGGAAAATTTGGGAGAGAGTTTGTGGTAGGCCTGATAATTTGCAAAGGTAAGCAGTACCCTGTGCTTCAGAGGTTACTGGAATTTGTTCCCTGTATTAGAGAGACTGATGATTTAAAGAAAGGTATCCAATGCTCTCTGAAACTCAGGGTGTGTGGTAACAGTATTATAAACATATAATAATTGTAGATAATACCTACAGTGTAATATTCCAAACAAATTATTCCTCTGAGGAAAGTAAAAAGGAATGTTCCAAAGGCCGCTGTCTCTACGCTGACCTCCTCTACCAGACTGCCAATAATAAAAAATAAAACAGAAATTTCTAAAAATTTGAAGTCTCTACGTTCTTTACTAGAATCAAGAAAGATCAATAGATTCTAGATAGTGCTTTATTTTAGGTTACCTACAGATAAGATCTGGATGAAAAGAGAAGATAATGATTCAATCAGAGTGAATAAACTCCAGCTGCAGATAAATTGATATGACATACATCATATATAGATATCTGGTCAAATTTCAGCCAAGATACTATATTGACTAAATTGACATCTGCAGAATGTAGGACTCTATCCATATATGATTGGTTTGTCGACTAAATTTTCATTTTCACAAAATGAACCCCCTACTAGAATGTGGTATAAAATGGAACTCCTACTATAATCTCTCTCTGCTTCCTGCACATTTCACAACTACAAAATTATATGTATTCACTTGAAGACATCAAGACATCACTTCAAAATATTTGTTGGGTAACAAATAAAAATTCAAGGCAAACTGAGCATGCTTTCAATATTCTCTGTTATATTCCAATCAAGCAAACATGCTTGCATGCGCAGTTCTTGTAAAACAATACATGTATAAGCAGCTGTATTCTTTGTAAATTTCACAAGCAAATGACTGTGCATGTATCAGCCTTCACACAGAAATTATACTGGTATTTGTTTGGGAATTCAGTGACGTGCCTGTGACTCTGGCTAGGGTGCTACTGGTATTACATGGTGTATTGTATGCTGCTTTGCGTAAACAAATATGAATTGTGCGCAAACAAGGCGCAACTTTTAGTGTGTGGTTATGTAAATATGCACTACAAAAGCAACTTAACATTACAGGCAATTTTTCCTTTACAGATGAGAAATTTCTGGATAGTCCTGGTTAACATTATGGAAAGATTTTACGTGACTATATGCACATATACATGTACAAGTGCTGGTAGTATTAACTACAATTTTCAAGAAAACCAATCACCCATTTAAAAAATAAATAAAAATAACTATTCTTCCAATGATTTAGAGACAAGAAATCAATAGACCAGTGCATATAAGGAAAACTTGCTTGGCCCTATTGATTCATCAAAATAAACATTTGATAATCATTGTAAACTTTTCCTTTTTATCATTACATATGTACTTGCATGTATAATGAACATTGGGACCAATGCTGTCACCTTCAGGCCACTGTCATGCACACAAAACTGTAATATCACTTTTAACACAATTTAAACAGGTATTATCTTTACTAGTACGCGATCCTTATCTAAAATTGCTCACTATGGGGTATAGATAAAGGAATTAAAGGTGTTTCTATATGCATGCCTTTTCATAAAATCTCATTTATCTTCATTGTACTTGTCTTTTATGTGTGAAAGTGATTAAAATCAAGCCCTGTATTAGATGTATTAATTGACATTTAAAAATAAAACATTACCTTGCCAAAGAAGGTGTTCAATTATGAAATATACAATTAACCCTAGTACAGAAATTGTGAGCTTTATAAATGCCACAGTTTTTAACCATAGGTTTTTAATATGTTACTCACACAAAAAAAAAAGGAAAAAAAGAAAAAAAGCACAGGTGAGGGATCTAAGACTTACAGGTGAGCCTGCGATTAAAACAGGTACTAATAGCCTTTTTACCTCCTGTAGTAAGTATCGATGAATATAACTAATTGGTGAAACTGTGGATGAAACACCAGCCATTGTAGTGTATTGACCAGATATTGACCATACTGCAACAGAGGCATCCAATAATTAAATCTACTCTCACTGTGGTGTGTTTTGCCAATGTAAATACACTTTAGGTAGATAATAAAGGCCAATTATGTACACACATTGTGTGGTGAGGCACTTCACGTTGGCAACTGTAAAGTTTAGAAATGATGCAGCTCTAAAATGGAAAGGATAAATCTGTCAAAATGTAGCATTCACTTCTTTTGTTTATTTCAGCAGTTTTTGTATGACAACCACTACACAAAAAGTGCATTGCTAAATGGCAGCACAATAGAGTCTTTTCCACGGTCACGTGACTTCCNTATTTTGCAAAGGTAAGCAGTACCCTGTGCTTCAGAGGTTACTGGAATTTTTTCCCTGTATTAGAGAGACTGATGATTTAAAGAAAGGTATCCAATGCTCTCTGAAACTCAGGGTGTGTGGTAACAGTATTATAAACATATAATAATTGTAGATAATACCTACAGTGTAATATTCCAAACAAATTATTCCTCTGAGGAAAGTAAAAAGGAATGTTCCAAAGGCCGCTGTCTCTACGCTGACCTCCTCTACCAGACTGCCAAAAATAAAAAATAAAACAGAAATTTCTAAAAACTTAAAGTCTCTATTTTCTTTACTAGAATCAAGAAAGATCAATAGATTCTAGATGGTGCTTTATTTTGGGTTACCTACAGATAAGATCAGGATAAAAAGGGAAGATAATGATTCAATCAGAGTGAATAAACTGCAGCTGCAGATAAATTGATGACATACATCATATAGATATCTGGTCAAATTTCAGCCAAGATACCACACTGACTAAACTGACATCTGCAGAATGTATGACTTTATCCATATGTTTGGTTTGTTGACTAAATTTCTATTTTCACAAAACGAACCCCCTGCTAGAATCGTGGGTATAAAATGGAACTCCTACTATCTCTCTCTGCTTCCTGCACATTTCACAACTACAAAATTATATGTATTCACTTGAAGACATCAAGACATCACTTCAAAATATTTGTTGGGTAACAAATAAAAATTCAAGGCAAACTGAGCATGCTTTCAATATTCTCTGTTATATTCCAATCAAGCAAACATGCTTGCATGCGCAGTTCTTGTAAAACAATACATGTATAAGCAGCGGTATTCTTTGTAAATTTCACAAGCAAATGACTGTGCATGTATCAGCCTTCACACAGAAATTATACTGGTATTTGTTTGGAAATTCAGTGACGTGCCTGTGACTCTGGCTAGGGTGCTACTGGTATTACATGGTGCATTGTATGCTGCTTGGCGTAAACAAATATGAATTGTGCGCAAACAAGGCGCAACTTTTAGTGTGTGGTTATGTAAATATGCACTACAAAAGCAACTTAACATTACAGGCAATTTTTCCTTTACAGATGAGAAATTTCTGGATAGTCCTGGTTAACATTATGGAAAGATTTTACGTGACTATATGCACACATACATGTACAAGTGCTGGTAGTATTAACTACAATTTTCAAGAAAGCCAATCACACATTTAAAAAATAAATAAAAATAACTATTCTTCCAATGATTTAGAGACAAGAAATCAATAGACCAGTGCATATAAGGAAAACTTGGCCCTATTGATTCATCAAAATAAACATTTGAAAATCATTGTAAACTTTCCCTTTTTATCATTACATATGTACTTGCATGTATAATGAACATTCGGACCAATGCTGTAACCTTCAGGCCACTGTCATGCATGCAAAACTGTAATATCACTTTTAACACAATTTAGCCAGGTATTATCTTTACTAGTACGCGATCCTTATCTAAAATTGCTCACTATGGGGTATAGATAAAGGAATTAAAGGTGTTTCTATATGCATGCCTTTTCATAAAATCTCATTTATCTTCATTGTACTTGTCTTTTGTGTGTGAAAGTGATTAAAATCAAGCCCTGTATTAGATGTTTTAATTGACATTTAAAAATAAAACATTACCTTGCCAAAGAAGGTGTTCAATTATGTAATATACAATTAACCCTAGTACAGAAATTGTGAGCATTATAAATGCCACAGTTTTTAACCATAGGTGTTTAATATGTTACTCACACAAAAAAAAAAGGAAAAAAAGAAAAAAAGCACAGGTGAGGGATCTAAGACTTACAGGTGAGCCTGCGATTAAAACAAGTATTAATAGCCTTTTTACCTCCTGTAGTAAGTATCGATGAATATAACTAATTGGTGAAACTGTGGATGAAACACCAGCCATTGTAGTGTATTGACCAGATATTGACCATACTGCAACAGAGGCATCCAATAATTAAATCTACTCTCACTGTGGTGTGTTTTGCCAATGTAAATACACTTTAGGTAGATAATAAAGGCCAATTATGTACACACATTGTGTGGTGAGGCACTTCACGTTGGCAACTGTAAAGTTTAGAAATGATGCAGCTCTAAAATGGAAAGGATAAATCTGTCAAAATGTAGCATTCACTTCTTTTGTTTATTTCAGCAGTTTTTGTATGACAACCACTACACAAAAAGTGCATTGCTAAATGGCAGCACAATTTAATTTAAGTTGCTATAAACAAATTTAGTGAAAAAAAAAACTCAATAGCTGCAGGCTTGCATGGATTTGTGACTGCTGATGGCACTTTATCTGGAACTAAGTCATTGAATAAGACTTAAAAATACCCCCCTCCCACTCACACAGCATTAAATATATATATATAACAACAGCCCAATACGTGCAAAAACAATCTTTTACTTTGTTATATTTAAGTTGTTACTCTTATGTGTCCTCTTTGGATAATTGCCCTAACGAGAATTAGGATTATCCAAATCTTTTCAGAGAAAAAGAAGAATAAATTTTTATTTCAACAACAGGAAATTGATTTTGACTTCAAGATGCTGCACAGCCAGAGGCATACATGTACAGTATTTGTCACGAGAAAATATTATTCTTACTAAGCGCATTCAGAATTCTTATCAAATGTGCTCTGTTTGCTCTCAAGATGTTTCCATTTCTATTGGAATGCTATGGGCTATAATAGGGTGTATATCTACAGAGTACTAGTACCAATACTTTCCCTTGTGTCATTTCAATATCCATGTTTTAAATGTTATAACCAATGACACCCAACACCTTTACAATTTGCTCAGTATCTTGACACAACACGAGGTTCAGAAAACAAATACTTTAAAACCCAGAATTTAAAACAGAAATTGTGATTTGAAAACAAAATGTGTCTCCAGGAAGCCTGCTGGTATTTGCTTACACCAGAGCATAATTTTCACAAGTCGGTTTGACAAAGGACTCTGCAAATATATATGTTGTAGACTTAAGTGTAGCTACCACAGAACATCAAGTACTTAAGAAAACAAACACAAAGACCTTCACGGACAATGAATTTTCTCCTTCAGTGAACAGAAAAATGTAATCTTTACACATTTTGAATGTAATGTGTCAGATCATACACATAAAAATACCTAATGTTTGTGTCTTGTAGCTAGGGGAAGAAAGGCATCTGCGCCTGTAATATGCTTGAGTATTATTTATTATCTAGCCTCTTTAGAAAACCTTGGTACGTATTACTTTGAAATAACAAAATTCTTTTCCTAATTTCTATTCAGCAAGTCTATTTTTATTAGGCAAATTGTGTATTTTTATCAAATTATCTGAATAAAGAAAAAAGTAAATATATGTAATATGTAATAATGGCAGTAAAAATCGTCATACTTTTGCCATATTTGAAAATGATGCCAAACATTCTTATTTAGATATTTCATCTTTATGTACCACACTTAGATGACTAAAGACACTACATGTTAAATACAACATGTCAAAAATGATTGAGACTAGGAAAACAACCTGAAAAATCTATTTCTAATCATGTTCACTCAGAAAAGGGCAGGTAAACACAGGATGACACTCATTATACAAGTATTGATCTCTATCAAAGGAAACCAGATATTCAGAATACAGTTTTACTGAGGTTTATGTAGTTGTGGTAATTACATTGGCAGTGTGTGGTTTGGAATGATGAAAAAAAAACAAGAATCAAGGTGGAATTTAAAGGCCATCGTATGAAATACTTATATATATATATATATATATAGCTACATGTATGGACAAAATTCGTTATTATGTCCAATATATAGCCAAGTACACAAACTACATTTATAATAGTTTTTACATGTACTATTAGAGAGAGAGAGAGAGAGAGAGAGAGAGAGAGAGAGAGAGAGAGAGAGAATTAAAGGATAACTCCAAATTATTCTTCTACATACAGTATTTCATATCAATGGCTGTTAATTTATAATTTATGACTTGATTTATGACTTGGGAATAATTTTCTTTAACTTGAAAATCATAAAAGAAAATAATAAAGAACTTGCAACCCTTATAAAATTTTTCAAACTCAACATGCCTATATTCAACAAAAGAGAGCATTATAGAGATACCTATTATTATTACTATTATTAATCAAATTTCATAAAAATTATTTTTAAATATTATAAAAAATACAAAAATAATTATAATTTTCCATGAGACTGATTTTTATTCTGATTGTCAGAGCAGATGCAAGTTTCTTAATAAGTCCAGGCAAAGTAAAGAGTTGATGTAAATAATCATTATAAAATTATTTTCTTCAAGCCTTGTGTCAAATGCAGGCAAAACAAACCAGCAAGGGACATACCAGGTCGAATATTTTCTCTTTAAATATCACAAAACTTTTTTACTTACGGTCATGCTGGAGGCTTAATGGGACCCGGTTAGTTTCTAATCTCGCTGCTGCCATACTTATTTTAAGCGTGCTTAAGTCTATATGATGGTAATACGCTCAATTATTCCCCATGTATTGACCCCTCACTTTGTTAGTTCATCGCCATGGTGTTGTCAACAAACCGGCAGAGCACAGAAAGCACAATGAGTCAACATGGTTGGAATATTTGACATAACAATGTCACTTTTTGGGATAAATATATACCAAGATATGTACAAAGCACTGGGATATCAAGATAATTTGTAAAAACCATATAAAGAAGCGTATAAGCTTAATTTTGCTAGAATTCCCAAATAATCCATACATGCTTTCCTTACGATGCCCTTACGGCGGAAGTAAACTTTCATTAACGGAAGTTTACCTCCACGCATGCGTATTTCTTCAAATTCCAAGCTGCAGAATTTACTATGAATTATTCGGTAGGTCTTTTTAAATTTATGAATGATTTCGTTAAGAAATGTAGAAAAGGGCTTAATGATTCAAAATCAGTGAAAATACCACACCTTTTCCTTTTTGCGCTGATATGTATTTGGTATTTCTTTTACAGAAAACATGACTGCAACACTCGCCGACACTGTGACATACGAATAGAAAACAGAATTTGGAATCGGCAAAATATATTTTTATCAGCACTGTGTTTCTTTGCTAAACTTGATCATTTCCTCCTGCACTGAAAATGGCTGAGACAGATTCAGTGACGTTGGTAAGTGTTACGATTTTCATAAGTACATGTTTATGGGTGCCATTGTAATTTGAATTTAAGCTCTGTATACTTGGCATTTTAAAAAAATTCCCTTTGTTTTTTAAGGCAAAGATCAACTATTATTGCCGTGAAAAGCTGTACAGACACATGCAGAATGCTGCACTAGAGGGAATGAAGAAATATGGCAACGACCCTGTCCTCAAGTTTTTCCATGCATACAGCATGTTATTGGAAGGTAAATATACAGGCAGGGAAGTTTAGAGTTTAGTTTTTTTATTCTTCTTGACAAATGTAAACAAGTTACCAACTGTAGGGAAGGGGAGGGTCATTTTCATTTACATTGTTTATACATTTACAAGACATGATCAAATATTTTTAAAGGAACTGAATATATTCTGAGATAGCATTCAGTGAAATAGAAATATTGATTGCAACCTCCTAAAAATAAATAAATAAATAAAATGAATAAAGATAAAAGAAGATAATGAAAAACTGAAATAGGGGAAAAGAAACAACAAAAGATGCCTAAATTATTATTAAAATTTTAATTATCAGAAACATCCATATTTATTTGTCGTGCTTTAAATATCGTCCAAAATAACCTGTATCTGCAGATCGTGTCCAGGAAGGCATGCGAGAGCTGGAGATCCTGAAGGACAAGCGGGACCTGAACCTGTGTACATACATGGCTTTGATGTTTGGCCACAAGAGGTGTAAGACTGTGGACAGAGAGGCCATGCAGGAGCTGGACACTAAACTGAAAACTGAGAGAAAACAAGCTGGGGAGATGGTATTCTTTTTTTTTTTTTTTTGTCTTTTTTTACTTACACTTAGTCTGCAATACAGAGTGTGTTATTACTTCTTTGATGACTTTCTTGACTGCTGCCACATTTTCGGTTTCAGTTAGTTACCATTAAAAACAAAAGTAGGGTCAGCAATTATCTTGACCCTCTTCATTATCTGTTTCTTTCAACTTGCAAAATGTGTCATTGCAAGTAAGTAGTAATTTTTACACATAATTCTTTATCTGCAGTAGATGAAAATGACAAGAAAATGAAAACAAACATGTCATCATAATTCATGTTTCAGGGTCTGTATTTTGCTGGCCTGTTCTTGTTTCACTCAGAGAAGTATGACAAAGCAAGGGAGTACATTGATAGGATGCTGAAGATAAATGCTAACTCCAAGGAGGTGAGGGTTTTTATTATTATTATTAGTATTATGTGGTCTGTATGTTTATTTTTTTCAGCCGCAATTACTTAAACATTTTGCCTATTTGTAGCATTAACTCCCTCGTTTAGTGTTCAATAAATCATCACTTTTTAAGCACCATTTAATGGGTTGACATTGAGAATTTTTCTAAGAATGCTATAAGAATCCTCCCCATAAAAGAGAAAAGAAAGTTAAGATACGATATTTCTGTTCTAGGGTCTTATCCTGAAGGGATGGATTGACTTGTTATGTGGCAGGGATTCTTATGTCAAGAAGGCTGTGAAATATTTCGATGATGTCTTAAAGTGAGCTTTTCACCTTAAAGGAAATTGATATTCTTTTCAAAAATAAGTGAATTTTATGACTGATTGCCTCTTACCTTAAATGTACCCTTTTTTGCACCATTATTGATTAATCCTGATCTAAAGTAAACCATTTTTTTATATAAAGGTACACTTCATTTGTGCTTTTTAACTGTAACTTACTACACTGATATCAATATCCTTTTTGCTNTTATCAGCACTTTGTTTCTTTGCTAAACTTGATAATTTCCTCCTGCACTGAAAATGGCTGAGACAGATTCAGTGACGTTGGTAAGTATTACGATTTTCATAAGTACATGTTTATGGGTGCCATTGTAATTTGAATTTAAGCTCTGTATATACAATGTACTTGGCATTTAAAAAAAAATTCCCTTTGCTTTTTTAGGCAAAGATCAACTATTATTGCCGTGAAAAGCTGTACAGACACATGCAGAATGCTGCACTAGAGGGAATGAAGAAATATGGCAACGACCCTGTCCTCAAGTTTTTCCATGCATACAGCATGTTATTGGAAGGTAAATATACAGGCAGGGAAGTTTAGAGTTTTTTATTATTCTTGGCAAATGTAAACAAGTTACCAACTGTAGGGAAGGGGGGGGGTCATTTTCATTTACATTGTTTATACATTTACAAGACATGAGCAAATATTTTTAAAGGAACTGAATATATTCTGAGATAGCATTCAGTGAAATAGAGATATTGATTGCAACCTCCTAAAAATAAATAAAATGAATAAAGATAATAGAAGATAATGAAAAACTGAAATAGGGGAAAAGAAACAACAAAAGATGCCTAAATTATTATTAAAATTTTAATTATCAGAAACATCCATATTTATTTGTCGTGCTTTAAATATCGTCCAAAATAACCTGTATCTGCAGATCGTGTCCAGGAAGGCATGCGAGAGCTGGAGATCCTGAAGGACAAGCGGGACCTGAACCTGTGTACATACATGGCTTTGATGTTTGGCCACAAGAGGTGTAAGACTGTGGACAGAGAGGCCATGCAGGAGCTGGACACTAAACTGAAAACTGAGAGAAAACAAGCTGGGGAGATGGTATTCTTTTTTTTTTTTTTGTCTTTTTTTACTTACACTTAGTCTGCAATACAGAGTGTGTTATTACTTCTTTGATGACTTTCTTGACTGCTGCCACATTTTCGGTTTCAGTTAGTTACCATTAAAAACAAAAGTAGGGTCAGCAATTATCTTGACCCTCTTCATTATCTGTTTCTTTCAACTTGCAAAATGTGTCATTGCAAGTAAGTAGTAATTTTTACACATAATTCTTTATCTGCAGTAGATGAAAATGACAAGAAAATGAAAACAAACATGTCATCATAATTCATGTTTCAGGGTCTGTATTTTGCTGGCCTGTTCTTGTTTCACTCAGAGAAGTATGACAAAGCAAGGGAGTACATTGATAGGATGCTGAAGATAAATGCTAACTCCAAGGAGGTGAGGGTTTTTATTATTATTATTAGTATTATGTGGTCTGTATGTTTATTTTTTTCAGCCGCAATTACTTAAACATTTTGCCTATTTGTAGCATTAACTCCCTCGTTTAGTGTTCAATAAATCATCACTTTTTAAGCACCATTTAATGGGTTGACATTGAGAATTTTTCTAAGAATGCTATAAGAATCCTCCCCATAAAAGAGAAAAGAAAGTTAAGATACGATATTTCTGTTCTAGGGTCTTATCCTGAAGGGATGGATTGACTTGTTATGTGGCAGGGATTCTTATGTCAAGAAGGCTGTGAAATATTTCGATGATGTCTTAAAGTGAGCTTTTCACCTTAAAGGAAATTGATATTCTTTTCAAAAATAAGTGAATTTTATGACTGATTGCCTCTTACCTTAAATGTACCCTTTTTTGCACCATTATTGATTAATCCTGATCTAAAATAAACCATTTTTTTTATATAAAGGTACACTTCATTTGTGCTTTTTAACTGTAACTTACTACACTGATATCAATATCCTTTTTGCTTTTGATACACAATTTTCATTCTTGATATATTCAGCCAGGGAAATAAAGAAGTAGATGCACTTTTTGGGAAGGCCAAATGTTTTTCTCTGAAGAACAACTTCACTGGCTCTCTGGAGTTGATGAACCAGGCCATTGTGTCCTTCCCTGGCTACATGCCTGCACTGATTGAGAAGATGAAGATTCAGCTGGCACTGCAGGACTGGGAACAGACTGTAGAGACTGCTCACAGGTATGCTTTATGAATAAGAAACTTATTAGTTATGATAATGATTTATTTATTTAAAAAATGTACTACACAGACGTTTCAGTGCTGTTTACATATGCTGTTATTATAAATTTAACTTAAAACCACTAAGATTAACTTAAAACTTTTAAAAAGAAATATAAGCCAGAAGAGACAAAACTTAGCACAGAGATATATGATATTGTATTTCTATATTGCAGGGCCCTATCTCAAGACAATCACTCTCTAGAAGCACACAGATACATTGTTCTTCACCAACTTTGCAGGGAGGGAAATGCACAGGAGGTGAGTATTTGCATTATTTTTCTCTCATGGTAAACTGAAGATTCAATAAAAATGTATGCATAGTTTTTATTTTGCTGCATTGGAATGATTTCATAGTCTATACAGTTATGACTTACATTACAATTACTAGCACTGGCTTTATTTGCTATTTTGTAATGGCATTTTTTAAAAAATAATTTACATCTATGATCTGTCATATTTATGCACCATCTGGGATGACTTTTTTCAGCCTTTTGAACTAAATCTATGATAAATTCCACCAAAGACTCAATCTTTTTCTTCTCTTTTTTTTTTCAGGCTGCAACAAAGATTGGGGATCTGATAGGTTTGGTGGACAGGTTTGAGCCAAAGAATCCACACCTGTACAATGATATAGCACAGACATTTTGTAGACTGGTAAGATATTGTACATCTTATGCCTGATCTAGATATTGCATTGTGTTATTAAGAAATTTATAAAGTAAAAGTGTTTGCCACAGATGAAGGCTTCTTTGAACAAAACAGACATCACTTTATGAAGTCCTTATCGAATTACTGATGTTATTGTATTGTACTGTCAAGTGGGATAAGAATCACCCAACTCCAAGAACCCTTTGATCATACCAGTGATATAATTGTATTATTCTCCATTCTAGTGTGGAAGGAATCTACTAGTTCTACAACAGACATACACTCTGGCAGAGAGGGCAGTTAGCCTTGATAACACTAGTGCGGAGTACGTCACAGAGCTGGGTTACGAGTTGCTGATGCAGGGGAGGGTGAGGGATGCCATGAAGTGTTACAAGAACGCCATGAAGCTGGATGAGACCAGTGTGGCAGCTCTGACAGGTAGGTGGATGTTGCAAGTGGATACATTATCACTTGTGGTGGCATGATAGTAATAATAAGAATAAAAAGAAGAGGGACTCTTAAGAACTGCATTCCACATTCCTCTCTGCACTGTTTACATTCTAAATGTTGGTAAATTGAATTTTTAGCTTGACATCTGAGATTACCAGTCACACGTTGTAATTTCTGAAACAAAGCAACTAGAATTGCCAATTACAAGGAAAAACTTACTACAGGTTAAATGAAGCTACATGATTCTTAGAAATATCAGTCAGGGATAACAGTAATGGCTTTTATTAGGATCACAGTAAAATTATTTATATTTGCAAATACACCACTTAAGACAATTCCCCAAAAAGGTATTTAGAGATTTGTATTGCAGTGTTTGTATATTTCATCGTCAGTTTTGAGCCTTTGATATGAATTGATAAAGTAAAGATATAGCTGTATTAGTCTCAGTCTGTCTGTCTGTCTGTGTGTGTGTCTGTCTGCTCGTCTGTCTATCTCATTGCTATCCATGCAATCTTTCCATATGTTTATAATTTTGATTCACCTCTTTGCTTTGTAACTTGTTTTGTAACCAGTTCTTGACCAATATTTTAGGTATTATCAGATGTCAGTTAGCAGAAAACCAGCTCGAAGATGCAGCACAGCAGTTGGAATTTTTAAGTGAGATACAGCAGAGCATTGGGAAATCTGCAGTAAGTGCTTCTACACTGAATTGGTTTGATATTCATATTATATTTAGACCACTAGCCCATATCCATATTTTTTGTTCTATTTATTCATTTATTATAATTTTTTTAACAAAATCATCTTGAAATTCAAATTTCTGTAATTAAAAAAATAATAATAACTACTGTAACATGGTATTAGCTCAGGCACTCAGCATCAATCCAAAACCATTCACAGACAGACCTCTTAAAAGACCTGAGAAGAATTTTCCCCATTGTTTAAAGTGCAGAATTAAAATTTGATGTATCATTTTATCCTACTGATATTATTTGTATTCCCACCTCTCCAGGAGGTGTCATACCTGAGCGCTGTGCTGGCCAGGAAGAGACAGAAAGGACCCGAGAAAGTCCTCGAGCTCTTAAATGAAGCCGTAGAGAACCACTTTTCAGGACTGGAGGTAAGGCCGAACTCCAGGTGGTCTGCAAGCAGAAAATAAAGTAAATAATTGCTCACAAAGTTACACTGAAAACATTCATAGCAGAATATCAAATTTGTTATTTACTCCTCATTGTCATGGTGACTTACAAATTCTTAATTTTAATAAGAGAGGTGTTGTCATCTCCTCCATACTGAAAACCATGTGTTGTCTTACTAGTTGATACAAAATGTTCCTGTGTTTGGGTTCCAGTCTCTGCCATTAGGAGTCCAGTACTTTTACCAGATGAACCCTGACTTCTTGATCCAAGTCATCCATGAGTTCCTCATCTATGCTCCTCAGCAGGTAGGTATTCATCAGGGGCTGGTAGAACAAACTCACTTAAGACTAAGTGTTCATATTAACTCACAGAAAAGACTTACAATTTTGCCTATTTCTATTGAGTAGAAATCTGTGGTAGTCCAATGTGAGAGCTATTGATCTTAGACATAAGCTTTTTTGATATGGATGGAAATATGTAAGCAAAACAAGTACATTGCTATCGAATCCAATACAGTATTACCACAATTAACAGATTGCTGTCACAGCTAGCACAATCCTATCACAGCCAACACATTATCACATCATACACAATCTCAGTACAGCCAACACATTGCTGTCACATCTAACACAATCTCCGTACAACCAACACATTGCTGTCACAGCTAACACAATGTCCTCCTGTATTGCAGCCCAGCACCACTGGTCAGCCAGTCCACCCAGTACTGAAGAGGTGCCAGATGGTGCTGGAGCCAGTGACTAGGACAGTGCCAGGACTCTTGGAGGCTCTCTTTCTCATGGCCAAGGTCAAGTTCCTGTCAGGTGGGCGATTTCTGTGGTGTGCTTTTCCTATGCAGTATATTTTAAATTGTCCATTTTTGCAGAATATGTTCCAGCTTTGATTTAGCAATTATAGTAATAAGATGTATAATGAAAGCATTCAGCCTGTTAAGTATTAACATGATAATCCTCACCCTGGCTTTTATTATCCCAGGTGATGTTGATGCTGCCCAGGGCACCTTACAACACTGCCTGGACCAGGACTCCACCTTTTCTGATGCACATATCTTGATGGCTCAGATACAGCTGCATCAGGGGAACTTTAAACAGGCGTCACAGTCACTGGAAGTGGGACTCAGCTACAACTTTGAGGTACAAAACATACACATTTCCGTTTATTTGATCTCTTTCTCTCTCTCTTTCTTTCTCTCTCTCTCTCTCTTTTTTTTTTTTTTTTTTTTTCTATCCTGTTTAGTCTCTTTCTTCTCAGTAAAAAAAGTTTTTTAAAGCCTCCTGATCCCACTGACTGTAGAGCGGATCAATTCACAGACTGTACCCACATATTGTTTTCCAGGTAAGAGAGCACCCCCTGTATCACCTGATAAAAGCCAGGATACAGAAGAAGCAGGGAGACTTCCAGGATGCTGTGAAGACTCTGCAGATGGCCATGTCTTTACCTGGAGTGAAAAAGTCAGGTCAGTTTGGAGACTGGGGTATTTATGGTCTACAGAGAAAACAGGTAGAGGCACTAAAATGATTAACGTTACAGCAAGAAGTGTCTTTTCTTTGGAATGGAGGTTTATCTTCAATTTGGCATGCTCAAAGATAGGAACTTTTTTGTTAAGGACCAAGACCTTTTTTTGTTAAGGACCATGGTAAATGAGCAGATGTTCATTTGTTTTTGTTAAGTTTGAACTTACGAATATCAAGAAACTTTTTTAACCAAGACAACAACCATACTATTCAACTGTTTAACTGTGTTATTCTCTATTCCAATTGCTTCTTATATCTGATGTTTACTACTATTTCAGACAGCAAGTCAGGAAGCAAGAAGAAGGTAGCCCAGATTGGTATAAATGACAGGGTGTCAGTGTTTCTGGAACTGGCAGAGGCACACAGGATGTGTGCAGAAACTGTAAGTAGGGATTGAAATAATTTGTGTAGGGCAGATGTTCGGTTGAATCAGAGAACTGTTCTTTCCTAATTCACAACATGTATTTAGTCATGTGTAAAAGTATTAATAGTGCGATTTCATGTCAATAATACAATATAATAATCATTTGGTCAGGTGTGATGTTTCCTTGATACAGAAATACAGGATGCATTTTCAAGGTGTAATATTTTATGCTTAATTTTGGCCTTGAAATTTCTTTTTAAAACACAGTCCAAATAAATTTTTTCAAAAGAGGGCATTCTTGCTAGAAAGGACAGGCTCTTGTCAATAAATTTTCCAAATGAAATTGCTAGAGGCAACCATTATCTTCATAAATTACTTGATCTTATTATTAATTGATGTGTGCTCACTTCCAGCATGAAGCAGCCAAGGTGATGACGGACGCCACCATGGAGTTTGAAGGCACTCCTGAGGAGATCAGAATCATGATAGCCAATGCTGACCTCTCCCTAAACCGTGGAGATGTAGAGGGCGCCCTGGTCATGTTGCGTAATGTCAAAGAGAATGAGCCGTACTTTGTTCAGGCGAGAGAAAAGATGGCTGAGATCTATCTGCATCACAGGAAGGATAAGAGGCTGTATGCCAGTTGCTACAAGTAGGTCACAGGGGAAGTCTGTGACATGGACACATACATACACAGGAATACATATTTATACGCACAAGTACACAGATGCACACATGCACAAACATGCACTTCATCTTTAAAAAATCAACAAGTGCACAACATTGCCACAACTTCGCTAGATTGGCACCAATATCTGTTCAGCCCGCATTTCATGGGAATGTAACCTTTTAAGACATTTAATTTCAGTCTTATTTTTTATTAATTCAAACAAAAAAAATTCTCAAAAGATGGCACTCTTGCTACCAAGATAAAACTGGTTCTTATTTTGACTTATCAAGGAATATCTAACTCCTCCATCATTATTGTAATTCTAGAGAACTAGTGGACAAACATCCCAGTGCCCACACATGTCTGCTACTGGGGGATGCCTACATGAGCATACAGGAGGTCAGTTCATCTCTTAATCATTCTCTCTCTCACTCACTCAGTCACAAGTTACTTATTCTTAAAAAAACGTCTATCTTGTCTGTGATAAATGATGGGTTTTGCCTCTGTACAATTTTAAAGCAGGTATATTGTTTTATTATTTCTAATCATTTTGTGTTGTGGTGAGTATGCTTAGTTTTAGGATTCACATTTAAAGCTTATCAGCACATATTTTTCATGTGACTATTACAGCCAGAGAAAGCTATAGAGGTGTATCAAGCAGCTTTGAAACTGAACCCAAAAGATGGCGCTCTTGCTAGCAAGATAGGACAGGCTCTTGTCAAGACACATAATTATGGAAAGGTAAGTTTTAATATCAAAATAGAGATTTATCAAAAAATTAGAAAATTATTTGATATATATTAATATATTTTTATCGAGGTAATCTGTGGAGATATTAAACTCTTGTCATCACATTAGATTTTAAAAAGTTAACATGAAGAACATACTACCAGAAGAACATAAAGATTCAGTTTTCAACCACATCTGTAGCATCAGTAAGATGATTACTCACAATAAAATGTTTCCTTTTTTCTTTTTTTAAGGCCATTAACTATTATGAGGCAGCGTTGAAGTCTGGTTCCCAAATGTCTCTGAGGTGAGTGCACATGTTGCTTGTTATGACAACCCTTGAGTGCTTGTAGTGTTAAGTACCTTTGATGATTTTTTTCTTTAGCAGGTAATGTGCAATTAAGAGCACTAAACTTCACATTCCCATGTTTTTTTTAAAGAATGTGTTTGCTGTCTGTGAGAGTAAATGTATCAACATACAAAAACTTCTGACAGGATTGAATTGCCCACATCAGCTGTCCCCCCCC